TTTTCCTAAACTGTGATAGAAATTTATATTTTCAACTATTTACATTGCTTTCAACAACATTCATTAAGACATGTTTTCACAGGCTTATGGTAAGTATATGGAATGGCAAAGTGAACTTTAATACTTTCTTCTTCCCTCTCTGTAGTAGAGCAGAAGGGGTCCAAAACTGTGCACAATTTAACAGTCCAGAAGAACTGTGTAACCTTTACCTTGCTAACACATGGAGAAAATAAACTATATACAAGAATACAAAACTCCTTAAAGTGTTCAACTATCAACATGTTAAGTGATTCATACTTGCAAGATAGGATGTTTGTTCACCGGTAGATTCTTACTAAGTTTCAGGTAAAGAAGGTGCATAAAACATATGTTATTGATGAAAATTGAAGTGATGCAGTACATCCCATGTTCTCACATTAAATTGGCAGTATCAGAAGCTGATAAGTCTCTTCTCCAGCACCTCATTCAGGGACCATGAGCTCCTTAAGGTCACTGCTCTGTCCACAGCTGAGCACAGTACCTAACATGTGGCAGGGACTCAATAAAAGGTGGGTCAATGCATGTCTGACACAAAACAATTATATTGTGTCACCTTATTTTGACTACAGTTGTTCGTAAGAGAGGATAATGATGACAGTTTTATTATCTTGTTTTAAGTCAATCTTGTAAACAAAAGACAATTGCTTGTGATGGCCTATTAAATTTTAGGAGTACAATCTGGTGAAAAACACAGAAAAAAATAGTAAATCAAATTGGAAGACGTTTAATATTTGTGTTGCTAAGCTGAAAATAAAGGCACTTCCCTGCTAGGCAAGAGTATATCTGTAACTGAATAGTTTTCTCCAAGAATCCAATATTTCCAGTATATTTTTGTATACTTTCTTGTCTCTATTACTTCTATTAAAGGAAACTATTCTTCATAATTAAGAGACAATGGTGACAATGTCATCATCCTGGGTTTGTACCTTAAAGCAATATACCCATAGAGCTCTAAATCTCACATTTACTAGTGATCTGCAAGTGAAGCTGAATAAATATATAGTCTTTGTTCAGTCTTGGAAACTCAACATTAGAAACAACATGTGGGTATAGATCACCTTTTCTCTAGACTAATACCCCATTTCTGACAGTGGTCTCCATGGCCCATTGGGGCTTATAAAGTAGCTGCCTTCTGTGACATCCTGCTTGAAGACAAAGACTTTGTCCAAACATAACTCCTTTTTAAAAAGCACAACTTGTTTAGGCACACAGAGGTTAAGTGACTTACACAAATCCACCCAGGATTGTGATTGGCACAGTCCAATCTACTGAAAACTATAAGGCTAGGCAATCATATAGATATCTTTTAACAAATTAGTAAAATAGTGGCAACTTTCTGGTTAAAAATTGAAATTAAATGGTATCATGTTACTCTGTTATAATGAAACAAACAAAAAATCTAGAACAAGAACTTCTTGCTAGTTATGGGTAATGTAAATACAGAGTAGGGTGAAGGAGGACTATATGTATACTTTTCCAGCTTGAGAGAATACTGGAAAGGAAATTAAAAATTATTTGAACCAATTAACCAGCCCTAAAGAAGTACTCTTCTGTATGAACGAAAATATCCAACAATAAAATAAAATAGGCATTGCCCAATTTCTTTTAATGTTTAAACTAGTAAAATAAACATTATTCAAAGACAAACCAAACCATTTCTAATCTAAATATATCTTCTTGCTTATTAAAATGACACACAAATAAACACTCTAAACAATCTACTATGTCTTTTAAAAAATTCTCAGTGACACACACTAGGGGGGACTAAACAAACTACAAAAGTGTAAGTACATATTTTAGCATTACTACTAAATCACAATGTAATAAAAAGGTTTATTAAAGATTGCTATTCTTTATGCAATATTTCTATACTAAGTATTTATGTGTGCATGCGTAAGTATACACCTATATGTATATATAACTATTATTTTAGTGATAATCTGTGTATTTTACACGCCAGTGCCACTAAGGGGCAACCTTAAACATTTTGTTTGTATGGCAAAAAGTAAAATAAAATATCCTGAAAGTACCAGTATACAACAATATATATAGCATTAAACAGTTGATAACTTCCTAGATTAGTCTTTACCAAATACAAAATAATGGCAATAAAATGTGTTTTGCTTTTTTTTTTTTTAACCAGAGTGATAAAAATAAAGTCACATTATGTTACAATATATATATACACATACACACATATATACACACTTAAAATTTTAAAAACTTAAGGAACATATTAAATTTTAAGTAAAATTTAGGGGAATAGGGACAAAGATGGGAAATACATTTTGGTGAAAGGTCCTTGAGAGTGTTGTATTACCATATACCTAAGAAATTTTCTATCCAAATTAGTGATAGAAACTCAGATCAAATATCTTTTTTGTGGGTTGGAGGTAGAAGTTAACAAACTTCTTCTACTCTCCCCAAATCCAAACATTCCTGAATATTTGAAACAAATTTTCCTTTCCTAGACCAGTTGCTTAATTCATTATCTACTTCTCCAATATTGAAAAATGTGTATTTAGGGGCACACATGTAGAATATTAATCCAGTTAAATGGGCTCAAATTCTAAGAAAATGTTAACTATACTAAATGTTATGGGAAGGAAATACCACTGAATACGAGTTAAGAGCCAGTGTTTAGCATTCACATCCAACCTTCTCTGGATCGGAGTTGACTTGTCCTATACATCAAAATATGACAATTTTTCAAACACAATACTGCTAAATGTTATTCAGACATAACATTTCTTACCCACTGTTCCCTCAAATTCAGTTTCTACTCTAGTATTGGCAAAAGCTCTTTGCTATTTATATAATTAAAAATTTTCTTTAAATTTCAATTGACAGAAGAAAAAAGATTCATTTTGAATTTTCTTATCTATAGTCATGTCTCACTTAGATCAATGCTCCAACTGTCACTTTTATTTTAAAAAGGAAATTCAGAAGGAAAAAAAACTCTTAGAGATATCCTCTAACAGGACATTTTTCTTCACTGATAGACATCCATGACCATTCCATTTCTACAGCACACTTATCCCTCAATAAAGTCAGTCACTGGATCATCTCCTAAGGTTTCACCTGCTTTGCTTCAGGTAGGTGAGATGGAAGGGATTGTATGGGTAGCCTTTAGAAAAATGTACTGCACTGAAATGACAAAGTTCTCTCTTGCCTGTTCTCTCACAAAACAGAAAATCAATTAAATGTTTTCTTTACAATACAGTTTCATTGTACTTCCCATTTGTTTCAGAATACCTGAACTTTTTACAAAAGACATTGTTGACAAATACAATTATTTCTTCTTAAAATCTACTCAGCCAGCATTTTTCACTATCCTATAAAGGCTTTAAATGTCACAGAATGTATGATAATTTGCTCCTAACCTACTTTTGAAAAAGGAAAGATTTCAAACATTCTTGAAAAACTGGTAATTCAGAAAACACAAAAACCAATTATTTAAAAACTCCAAGCAAAAAAACCTCAGTGCAAGAATACCGCTTACACTTTGCAGTACATGAAATACCACAAACAATGCTTTTATCAAGGTGCTAAGAGTGGATGTTGTTGATCATTTTGGTTCAGTGGCATAAAACAAATATACAAAAAATATGTAATATTCCACTAAAAACATTTCATGCTATACTCTCAAAAGTTGTGCAAAAACAAAAATACAGCAGTGGCAAAGTATATACCAAATACAGACAGTGTGTAAGAACCTAGGCATATTGCAGAACACACCATCTCTGTAAACTTCAACTCTGCATGAAATGGGCCACTCAGTTCCGCTTGGCCTGGCCGCTTTCCCCGTTAATCAGCATCTTCTCCTGCTGTTCTGCAAGGGCCTGCCATTTCTGCCTGTTCTTCCTGCAGCCATCTAGCAAAGGGAAACAGTCCTCTGACACATGGGTCAGGGCCTAAAGAAAAAAAGAAAGCAAACAACTAGAGGGAAGCCAGGAAATAAGCCCTCTCCCACAGCCTGTTACAAAGGGCCACATCCCACATGCTTTTCATGAGCAGACTCACTGCTGAAATTTTCACAAGCTGTGTGCGCACATACACAGATCATTTACGCATGATTCTTCCAAAACACTACAAATTAAGTAGTAGTTTGCTGAGAGACAGAGCATACACACACATTCCAAAATAACATTATTGTGCTAGGTAGACAGATCTATGTGGAATCCACTTTTAGGGGAAAAAAGACATTTTGTTTCTATGTAGTACAGTTGGGTGTCCCTAAGTGTGACTGCATTGGAAGCTGCTTAGTTTTTGTGTTTTTTAGGCAATGGTCTCATATAATATACTTAAATAGGCTTTTATCCAGGATTATATTATAATAAAGATTAATTCATAATTTGGTATGGCATTGTTATATACCAATTATAGTGTCATAAACATTTAGACACAAGAATGTTCATTGCAGATTTCTTCCTAATAGTGATACACTGACAATGACAAATACACAACAGTAGGCTGTCACTGGAAAACACCCCAACAGAATTTTTAAAAAAAGAGAAACCTACAGGAACACATTTGATACATAAAATATGGATATAATAACATTATGGATTCCAAAAGGCAATTATTGAATTATTGTTAAATGAAAAGTATATGAAAATGTCATAAACCATATGCATATACATTAATATGTTATCTGTAGTTATCTCTGGGTAGTAGATTCTAAGTGGTTTTACTTTCCTTTTTGCTTCTCAGTAATTTTGATTTTCCTTTTTCTTCTTTTCTTTAGGACAGGATTCCACTCCCGTCGTCCAGGCTGGAGTGCAGTAGTGTGATCTCGGCTCACTGCAACCCCCTCCTCTCCTACTCAAGCAATTCGCCTGCCTTAGTCTCCTAAGTGGCTGGGCTACAATCGCGTGCCACTATGCCCTGCTAATTTTTCTATTTTTTGTAGGGACAGGATTTTGCCATGTTGGCCAGGCTGGCCTTGAACTCCTGAGCTCATGTGATCTGCCTGCCTTGGCCTCCCAAAGTGCTGGGATTACAGGTGTGAGCCACCTTGCCTGGCCTCTGATTTTTCTATAGTATACACACACACACACACACACACATACACACATATATATATGTGTGTGTGTATATTATAATGCAGAAGGATAACATCTATAATAGGTGATATAATTACTATCTTGACTGTTTTTTTGGGGATGGAGAAAAATCAAAAGAGCCATTAGTATTTTTAGTGGAGAAACTCTTAATCCAGTCAATAAGGAAAGCATCTGTTATGGAAAGAATCAGATGTCCAAGTGTTTGAAGCACTGCACAGCATATGCTTTATACTTCTGAGGAAGAACTTTGAACAAAGGAGTAAACAACTAGAATGCTGAGAAAAATGAGACAGCAGTGGCACATGACACCTGTGTTTTTTTTTCTCCATGGTTCTTTTGGTATCTCTCCTTCCTTTCCCTGTCAGCCACAGATCCTTATTACATTCTTTTGATGGGGAGAACCCTGGAGTAGGAATGAGAACTGGGCTGTAGATGTACCTCCCCTATTAACCGCCTGTTTGGGGATAATATTCTATCTTGTTAGGAGATGAACTTTACAAGTTCGATTACTGAATCTGAAATGTTGGGTTTAGAAAATTTCTAGCTTTTTTTTTTCTGGTTTGACATTCTATGATAACTCCAAGACAAATGTTCTTTTTCCGAATAATTAAAACTTAAAACAGTTTCCTGTTTAAACTTCCAAAGACAACAACAAAGATAACCTCTTCTTTCTGCATTTGAGTCATAAACATTAAACTAATAAATTAGGTGTTTTGGGGAGAATCCATTTGCCTACAATAACCCCCCACACGCCAGATACCAAGCCAGCAGATAACGTGGAAATGGGGACCTGCAATATTCTACCTACCTCCTTTTAATTCTCAGAAAAATTTTTATAAATATAGTCAAGCCACATTATGACAATGAGAAAAAGTTGGAAAATTACTTTTCTTTATTTAGGCTAAAATTCAGACTTAAGAAAAGAATATGCTAATACATGGTATATACCATATTGCTTCTTGAAGTTAACATTGGCAATACTTCTTAGCATCCCCAAATCAATTTGTTGGAGATTAGCACATAGTAGGCACTCAATAGATATTTGTATGTGTTCCTTGTTCAATACAAACGTTCATCAATAAAAGAAACCATACTACTAATAATTTTATTTCACGACTTAGAAGCCCAAAATAGGCACCTATTATTAATCTCTTCAATTTACTTTAGGTTCTAATTCATAATGGTCCAAGTTTAGCAAGTCTAGTAGTTTTCATATAAATACCTCATACAGTTGCAAGCAGATGGCATCTATGAACCCAACTTGCATACTTGGGATTTTGTTTTTCTTTTCCCTGTTCATTAGATCCTGAAAATACAAATATAGACACAGACACACAGATTGCATTTATTTATTTAGTTAGATATTTTATTGTTATTTTTTGAGATGGGAGTCTCACTCTGTTGTCCAGGCTAGAGTGCAGTGGTGACATCTCGACTCACTGCATCCTCTGTCTCCTGGGTTTAAGCTATTCTCCTGCCTTAGCCTCCAGAGGAGCTGGGATTACAGGTGTGCGGCACCATACCTGGCTAATTTGTGTATTTTTAGAAGAGATGGGGTTTCACCATGTTGGCCAAGCTGGTCTAACTCCTGATCTCAAGTGATCCGCCTGCCTTGGCCTCCAAGTGCTGGTATCACAGGTGTGAGCCACTTTGTGCATTTATTTATTGAAAGAACACAATGAAAGCTAGCTCTAGAAAGGTGAAACAGTGGGTTAGCCTGGAAAGGTCAGATAGCAACTGTATGAAAAAAGAAGAAAAGAAAAGAGGAAAACTCTATGTTTAATTTAGAGGAAAAATTCCAAAGAACAGAAGTGGGTTGAGAAGAATCTTTACTTGTATTTGTGATCCACACTCTATGAAAAAAGGCAGTATGTATCAAAGACCTTGAAATTCTGTTTGCCCCAACACAACAACTTTGGGAATTTACGCTAACAAGATAATGAAGAATGAGGTTTAGCACTTCAGCAATTCCCTTGGTGTAATGTTTGCCATTACAAGCAGCACTGCGATAAACATCTATAATAGATGAAATACTGCTCTGGAAACACTTCTGAGGAGAACTTTGAAAAAAGGAGTAGACAAGTAGAATGCTAAGAAAAATGGGGAGACAGTTGTGCAGGCATGACATCTGGTCCTTTTTCCTCCATGTTTCTTTTGATATCTCTCCTTCCTTTCCCTGTCAGCCACAGTTTCTTTATTAAATTCTTTTCATGGTGAGAATCAAGGAGTAGGAGTGAAACTTCTATGATGGATATTTATCACAGTGCTGTTTGTAATAGTGAACACTGCAAACATTCCACCAAGGGAAGTGGTTAAATTATGGCTACATATATTTCAGTAATCATGATAACACATAAGAGTATGTTAAAAGTGGTTTGTAATACTTAACTGGAAAAAACAAATTACAAAAAACAGTGATACAACATGCTGACCCCAAAAGTGTTTTTGTGCTCTTTTATTGGCTTTGCTTTCTGTAATGAACATTTATAATTCTTCCAGTAAGAAAAAAGTTTTAAAAAATAAAATGAGAAACTGTGGTCCTAAGGAAAGATCCCATGAAACCATAAAAAGGAGTCTATAATTTAAAAATGTAGTTTAATTCCTACCAACAAGGTTTCATACTTACAGTGGGTTCTATGTTGAGTTCTTTTCTCTCTCTGTCTCCTTGATCAAAAAATTCAGTTGCTACAAGTTCTGCTATCTGAAATAATTAACAGACTCAGTTTTGACAATGAAAAGCATTTCATTCTTTAAAACAGCGACTGTGAATGAAGGCCCTGTTAGGAGGTATACAATCTCCATTTTATAGCAAATAAGCCGCAGCTTGATACCTGAAGACCAGTACTCCATGTCTAAAGCATGCTCTCTTAACTACTCCATTACACTCTTTTTTCACCTCTGTAAATCTCTCTTTTTAGTAGCTTCCAACATTTTTCCTTTTATTTTACTTAAAAATATTTTCTTCCTTCATTTATTTTCATACCATAAAACAATATGTACAAGGGTTTAATTCAGGAGAAAGAAAGGATATATGAAGACACATTCTTTCCTCTTCTGTTCTCTTCCCTGCTTAGAAATAGGCATATAGTCTTATTTCTTATGGGGCAGGAAGGTATATAAAGATCACCTAAGTGCATATGGCATGTTGGCTTTGGCACATGGAGAATGAGTTTTTGATCTTGTTTGCTCTGTATGCCTGTTTCACAAGATGAGCCTGTAGAAGAGATGTTAGGCGCCCTGACTATGCAGCCCAGAGCCTTGACCAACACCAGGCTGTCAACAATCCTAAATAGTACATTAAAGACTCAAAATGAAATCTTGAGAAACAGAAACACAATATATATGTCACTGCATGGACATCCATCACTTTTCTGAGTCTATATTGCCTCTGCAAAACATTAGAGCAGTTACTTAGAGGGAAGGATTTTTTTCTAGCCTCCTGGTAACAGGCTCTGTTCAGATCCTTCTGGACATCTCCTGTCAATACTTCCTACATCTACAAGCCCTGGAAATCTTTAAGTTCTACTTGTTAATGCCTATTTAGAGCTGAGGTATAGCCTAGAAGGCTAATCATAAGAAAAGTAATTTTGCTTCTTCTGATTTCTAAGGTCATTAAAGGGATGTCCTTAAGAAACAAGTAAGTGAGAAGCACAAGTTAATATCTCAAATCCAAACATCTGAAATCTAAAATGCTGGTCCAATAAGTATTTCCTTTGAGTGTCATGTCAGCCCTCAAAAAGCTTTGAATTTTGGAACATTTTGGATTTTTGAATTAGGTATATTCAGCCTATCACACTGAAATGAAAACTTATCAATAGCAGTGTTTTTGCTCTGTTAACGTTGATGTTGTCTTTCTTCATATATCTTACAAATATTATATGCAAATGTATCTTCTAAAAAGGAAAGCCTTTTCATGTTCAATTATCTGTTTTTAATACTACTTAAAAATTTTTAAAAATTTCCATACTTCAGAAGCTACCTTTAAGAGTAAAACCTTTAAAAAAATTATTTTATTTTAGATTTAGAGGGTATATGTGCATATCTGGTATAGGGGTATATTGTGTATTGTGGGGGCTGGGCTTCTCCCCTTTTGGAGTCCCCAGTGCCTATTATTTCCATTTTTATGTCCATGTGTACCCAACTGTTTGGCTCCTGCTTATAAGTAAGAATATGCAGTGTTTGATTTTCTGTTTCTGAGTTAGTTCATTAAGGATAATGGCCTCCACCTTCAATCATGCTGCTGCAAAGGACATGATTTGATTCTTTTTATGCCTGCCTAAAAAGAATTCCATGGTGCGTATGTATCACATTTTCTTTATCTAATCAACTGTTCTTGATGGACACTTAGGTTAGTCCCATGACTTTGCTATTATATAATAAATGATGCTATGATTAACACATAAGTGTCTTTTTAACATAGTGATTTATTTTTCTTTAGATAGATACCTAGTAGTGGGATTGCAGGGTAGAATGTTATTTTGACTTTTTAATTATTATTTTTATTGTCACTAAGCAACATACCCGTTGTTGAATAGGCCAGGGTTTTGTAATTGCAGAAAGATCACAAGCTGTCATCAGCATTGCCCTGTTACAGAAAAAAAAGAAACCCACAACTCCTATTTACTTTTTTGTTATTATATGACCTCAGTAAATAGTTACAAATAAAAAAGGTTAAAATCCTCTAAACAATGGAAATGGGAGTTTATAAAGACCAAAGAAAAACAAACAATTTATATAGAAGTCTACCTGATATAGTGATAACAGAGCATCACTGTTTTCGATTTCCCTTTGAACTTTTGGAATTTGTCCTCAAACTGCCTCATTTAGTTCCAGATTGGTAAAGTGAAAAATTATTAACCTTTGGGTAAAAATTTGCCTGATTTTATTATTTTTGTCACTTTGGTATTCCATTCTCAGTGACAGCATGATGAAAGTGCTT